AAACAATTTCAAATTTGCTGTAATTCTTTTAATGGCCCTGGGGTTTTCATAATCCCCTTGGCCCTCAGAAGTGGTCAAATGCTTCAAAACAAATAATAATTCAGCTTACATCATGTTAATATTGATCTCTTTCTAGCATCAGGAAAAAGAGCTTCTTTTTGTGGAAATAATTGGCTTCTTCTGGTAATGGGTTCTGCATATTTTGCCTCTGTCGCAGGACAAATATTTACTATATTTACTGTAAATCAGGAAAAAAAGAGAATAATTTCAATTGGAGTATTTTATAATCATTGTACTAAAAAACGCTCCTTTTTACACATATAGAAAATTAGGAACACTTTGTATTATGTCTGTACATAGACTGAAATTTGTTGGTATGATCTTTAACAAAATAGTATTTTGGTGCCTTTATTTATATACTTCAGAACAGTGGTCCCCAACCTTTTGGGCACAAGGGACAGGTTCTGTGGAGAAAGGATTTGCCACGGACCGGAGTGGGCATGGTTTTATGTGCTGCCTGATCCTGCAGATGGGCTTTGCTTGTTTGTGTGGCCCGGTTTCTAGCATACTGCAGCATGGTATGGCTCCATGGATCAGGGATTGGAGGCCCCTACCTCAGAAAATGAACTGCATAATCAGAGAAATCATGTTGCCAGAATGGATTACATTATGCTGTAGATGGGCTTTTTAAATACTTCCAACATGAAAATGGCACAGTAAATCAGAAATGTTCCCAACCAATCTTTTTTGACCAGGTTTATCTTCAGATGCAGAAAACACTGCACAAAGAATGTTCTTCTCCAACCTCAATGCCCTCACTCCTCCTGACATGTGGAATTCAGCTTCTAAATTCTCACCAATAATCAGGCTGGATGGGGAATTCTGGGAGATAAAAAATCCATACATACGGACCGTGCCCAAGAAGGCTAATATAGGGACTGTATTCAGACACTGCATCTTTTATCTGCAGATTGATTACATGTTGCATCAATGCAAACTTTACCATATGATTTTGTTGACTATTCAGCTTGGCTTTTAGATTCTTTTCACTGCTACTTTGATTGTAAACGTTCTTCTTACCATCCTCAACTGTCTCCTTTTAAAATATTTTATTGGATTTTGTGATGGAATGTCTGGAGTCCTAAGAGAGAGAGGCTGTTTTTCAGAGGGCGAAGAATTTCTAAAGGAGTTAAGAAAGTCTGGGTGATAGGAAAGGTGGCCCTGCCCTAGCAATTCACAGAGTATATCTACAGATATGCGGAGAGTAGTTTTAGTCTGGCAAGATTCTGTCTGTAGGTGAACAACAATAAGGAAAGTATAATTTTTGTATTGATTGTACTAAAGTATAAATTTCAGTTCTCCCGTTTGATTTTTCTCTTCAGAATGCCTATGTGAATATAAATCGCATCATGTCCGTTGCATCCAGGCTCTCAGAGGCTGGCCACTATGCATCTCAACAAATTAAGCAGATTTCCACACAGCTAGATCAAGAGTGGAAGAGCTTTGCTGCAGCACTGGATGAGCGTAGCACTATCCTGGCCATGTCTGCTGTGTTCCACCAGAAGGCTGAACAGGTATGTAATTTTTACTGAGTCAGATGCCTTTCTGCCTTGTCTGTGGCTTTGATCTAGTTTAAATCACCATCAATATAATTAATGCAACCTGTGTATTCCTTGCATTTTCCGACTGTTTCAAGAACTATGAGTCGGCAATTGTTTTGAGGCTCCTCTCCCCACTCCCAAAAAATCTTTCTCCAGCCTGTTCAATACAGTGTATCTCTTTTTCTATTGGCTTAGGCTAGATAGAGTGACGTGAGAGTGGAGTGTTAAGAGAAAGCTCATGGCCACACAAAGGAACACTGTTCACAGCTGCATGCTAACCTACTTAGTGGGCTTAGGCTGCTTTTTTTTTTTAATCTGTTATAGAAAGTTGAAAATTCATGCATTTAATTTAAAATCCATGTGTCAATAAATATGCTGTGCTTTATTTTTTAGACAAGCAAAACAATGGTTGAGTTTCGTTACTACATTCACCATATAGGTGTTGGTAATGCAAAGATGAGTACATGAAACATCTATTACCACCGCTTTGGTTTGGCTAGCTTGTGCATGCTTTTCTGCTCTAGTGACATTGAACTTCTGTGCTTAGCACATGTACATCTTAAAGAATTTGGTAGAAGCTCTTAACTAACCGATCTTCTGGCTGCTATTTCAGTTATTTTCAATCACAATTATTATTATTTTTAGAAAAAATGATTTCAAACATATTTTTAAAATATTCTGTTGTCCCTGCCAGTTTGTGGCAATAAAAATCAGCATGGGTTGCCTTCCTATCTTTTGTCCCACATGGTGTCACTGTTGCCTACAAAGAGATCCCGATAAAAGAGGTTTTCTTTGTCCAATTGATTAATGCTTAAGATATGTGAAGAAGAGGGGTACAGCAGAGCTCTAGTATTAAATATTTAGGTATCATCTTTTCTTTTCCTTTTTGCAACACTCTCCAGTACCTCTGCTGTACTCTCTAGAACTCTTTTTTTCAAAAGAAAAGATGAAATCCTTGGATTCATCAGTGTTGATGTTTGAAAGGAATACATCTTAGTATAACTCGTGTAACTAAGGAAAGCCACAACTTGTGCAACTATGGAGAGCCAGGTATCCCAATGATACATAATACTGTACATAGTTTTATCTGATTAGACCAAATGTTTTCTCACTCCTTTTTCATGTTTGTAGCAATTTCATTTATACCAATCTTTAAAACATTGCCATTTTCTTTTTGTGATGTTTTGGGGTTCATATGATATAAAAACAGTCTTCCCCTTTTATGTACAGAAAGTTCACTTTAATATAACTAAGATGTAATACAGGATTCATGAACAAGGAGGGAATACTAATGGATCATAAATTTGATTCAGAAGGATATTTTTTTCCTATTAACATAATACTCCATAACCCATTTCAAACTTTTTTTGGGTGTGTGGGGGGGGTAACATCCACTGAAATCAGTGGAATATTTTACCATTGAATTATCTATTGGATATCATTGCATTTAAATTACTTTAATTTGTTGTTTTTTAAAAACTGAAAATCTCTAGCTAACTTGTGGCCACTGAAATTCAGTTTGAACAGGAAAGTTCTGTGAATTTCAGGAACGCGCTCAGGATTCACTGAGCCGCGGTGGCGCAGTGGTTAGAATGCAGTACTGCAGGCTAACTCACTGTTCACTCCTGGAGTTTGATTCTGAGCAGCTCAAAGTTGGCTCAGCCTTCCAACCTTCCAAGGTGGGTAAAATGAGGACCCAGATTGTTGGGGGCAATAGGCTGACTCTGTCTGTAAGCCACTTAGAGAGGGTTGTAAGGCACTATGAAGCAGTACAGAAGTCTAAGTGCTATTGCTATTAATAATTGTAGAATCTGGAGTTTTTAATTCTGAAAAGGAAGAGCAACCGTGAGAACAAATTAATTATAGTATTTTATACTAAATTGGTTAATTAATCTAGCTCAGTGTTGTTTGTCTAGACTTTCAGGAGCACTCTATTAATTCATACTGAGAGCTGCTTTTAGTTTTCCCGCTAAGATTCTTTTGTAGATAAGTTGTGTAGGATTGAACCTGTTATCTTTCTATAAAACAGGGTGCTTCTGAACTAAATATTTTTGTCTGGAAGCATATTTTGTCTTAGAACATCTTCTGAAGGAAGACTAGTTCAGCTATTGCTTGACAATTTCCTTCACTTTCCTTTCCTCCCAAAGTATCATTTGTTTTGTTTTTTTCTTTTCTCTTTACTTTTGCTAACATAGTCACATAAATAATAACAGCAACAGCCTAAACATGGGGATCTTGAATAACCGAGAATAGGAAGCCTTTGGACAATTCAATCAAAATATAATCTGAAATTGCCTTTTTAATCCTGTGAGATTGTAATACCACTAAAGCAACACGAAAGATCTCGGGTTTTCTTTGCTCCCCTTTTCCTTCCCTTCAGCAGAAGGCAATCTCTTTGCAGGCAGAAATTCGTCTCTCTGATGAGGAGGAAGATCGTAGAATAGTAGTGATTGGTTCTGGTTTAAATTGCTGGAAGTCATCTCCATAAGAAAAGCATGATAGATCATAGCACAAGCTGGTGTTGTTCATCCATGCTATTCGGATGTAACTTCAGCCCCAGACTGTTTACTGCTTTTGATTGATGTCTGTTGTCATGTATATGTGCCAGTTTAATTTTTATCATTGAATGCTTTTTACTTTTGAAATAATCCTATGCTTCATATCTCTGCTCCTCTGTAAAGAGAGACAATAGATAATTAAATACATGTACAATAATCATTGATTGAATGATTATTGATTAATTATGTGCTGTCAAGTCATTGTCAACTCCTAAGAACCACTTAGATAAATTTCCTGCATGAACAATGCTCATTGTTCATTTTAATTATCGAATTTATTTAGAATGTGTTAATATGTTGAATGAAGGAAGACTTTGTTCCTGAATAAAATTGGAGTTGGATTTTCTTTTTAATCTAATTGGTGCATTGGTTGATTATCCTATTAGACATTGCAAGCTTGCAATACGTTCTTTTGGGATAAGAATGTTTGAGATAATACACTTCAGGGAGCATAGCATTTCAGGAGCCAGATACGGGTGAAACACTTTGAAAGCAGATTAGAAACTTTATATTACAGGGTTGTTTTTTTAATGTTTCTGAAATGTTGGAGCTGTTGGCTATTTTTTTTATTATTATACAGTTAAACTCCTTAAGCACAACAGAATGAGTAATATATAATGTAATTTAAAAAAATATGGGAAGATTAGTAAGAAGTAATGAAGCACAGTTAAGTGTGAGATTGTGAAGAGGTTTATCAGTGTGTCATGTTCCATTTGAAATAAAATAATTATTGATCAAGACTTTTGATATATCAGAAAGGCAAACGTGATCAAAGTGTGCATATATCATGGATGTAGGACTTTGAAGCCAACTCAAGTGATTTCTTATAGCTGATCTGTGATCTTAAAAACTATTATGAAATATAGATTATGGATCTAATTTCTAATACTTACCTAAAAATTCATTTGTCTTAAAGCAATTATTCCATCTTGATAATATATAATGGCTGTGCTTCATTTGGTTGTTATCCACTAGAATCCACTTGGGTTCTGGCAAATTAATATGTATCACAGAGCTCATATGGACTTGTTACAACAGGTCAACATCCATTTTTGGAGGACAAAAATATATATTACCTTTTAGGATTTCTCGCTCATTGGCAAAATGACCTCTGGTATATTTTCCATGTTCCACTTCTCAAAGCATTTCTCTGCTTTGGATGGTGCACTAAATTTGTTGCAGGGCGACCTCAAATATTTCATTGGCTGTTTTGCAGAGGCAACAATTCCCCATCAAATGAACCAGTGGCTACAAGTTTAGCCCATTAATGGTGTTTTGAGTTACCTTTATCAAAAAAAAAACTACAATAGCACAATGGTTATAAAACATACTTTATAAAATTTACTGGTTTGAAACTTAGTAGAATTTTTGTTTAAATTACTTTTTTTCCTGTCCCTGGGCTTCCTATTTTTCTCTGTATTTTTTTTTAATGTCCAACATTGCAGAATTTCATCGTTTCTCCAGTCACCAGAAACAGCAGAGTTGTACCCCAGCTCCCAAATAAAGATTATTTGGGTTCTTTGAATGCTGAGGATAAACCATTCTGTCTTGAGCGTCTAAAAATAAAAATTCTAATTTGTTTTAAAATTAATTTGTATTTGTGTATGTGTCTGTGGGGGGAGGGAGAGAGGAGAGGGAAAGGAGGGAGGGAGAGAGAGAGAAGTAATATTTTGGCTGCCTTATGCATTAATAATAAATTCTCCTAAATTAACTGCAATTATCTAAAGCAATTAGTTTCCTTCCACGTAATTTAGATTCCTATTTTTGTTTTGCCCTCACAATAATGTTTTTTTTTCTTAAAGGCAGCAAAAAATACAGCTTTTTATTTGCTTTTGGGGAGTGGAGGTAGGGGAAGAATCCTTTTACAGATGATTTTGAAATTTTGGAAGTTGTCCAAAATTGTTTGGGAACTAAAGAATTTAATGAAAAACAAGCCAGAGCCCTCTTGAGTCTATCAAATGAATTATGAAGTGATGTGTATTCTGGACCACATTTCAACTAGAAAATGGCATTATAGTTTTGCTGGCTGTGCTGTGTTATGCTACTTTTGCATTATTACATGTTTTTGTTAGAGATGGAAAGAGATGGTGGTTTGTTTGTTTTTTTAGAGATGGTGTTATGTTTTTATTTTGGTACTTAACTAAGCTGTTAGATTTTTGGTAACGAAGTAAATTCTTCTTGCAATTCTTTCAGTTTTTGTCTGGTGTAGATGCCTGGTGTAAAATGTGCAGTGAAGGAGGTCTCCCCTCGGAAATGCAAAACCTGGAATTGGCCATCCACCATCATCAGTCTCTTTATGAACAGGTCACTCAGGCTTACACTGAGGTGAGTGTTTCTAGACGGATTTTTAATAATCACCAGGAGATTTCACAATGTAATTAACAGAGATGGTTGAATATGCAAAAGGAGAACTGAGGGTTATGAGCTATATAATTTATATGACGTGTTCATCTGGTTTTTCATTCCATGCTGATATATTAAATAGCCTAGCTAATGGATCTTCTGTAATTTTTTCCCTAGTACTATCAAGTTTCTTATTCAGCTCAGAAGATGGTGCAATTTATGCTTGTATTTAAAAGTAATCTCATTTTCTTATTCCAGAAATGTCTGTATAGGATTGTAGCCTGAGTTACAGGCTACAACAGACTTTACTTAGGAGTGTAAAATCATTTTCAAGCTGTGTGATTCTAATAGCAATTTTAGGAATCCCATGGTGTAAAAAATACTGTCCTCAGGAAGATGAGTGATGCAATCCAAGCAATTAGCATCAAGTAAGTTACATTGGACGTCGTCTTCAGAATTCCCTAATACAGGACTGTCAAACTCAAGGCCTGGGGGCTGGATTCGGCCTGTCGGGTGCTTAGATGTGGCCTATGGGGCTGCCCTGGAAACAGCGAAGGACTGGCTCATGGTGCTTCTGCCAGAGAAAACAAAGCTCAGTTAGGCTACGCAAGGCCCTCACGGGCTGTTTTCGACTATGATGGCCTCCTGCAACCCTCTGCCAGAAAAAAATGGAGCTCGGGGAGGCCGCACACTCCATTTTCACTGGCAGAGGGCTGCAGGAGGCCGTCGCAGTCGAAAACGGAGCTTCGACAACTGCTGTTGAGCTGGCCAGGCCCACACTGGCCATGCCTCTGGCTATCCCCAGCCACCCTGAGATCAAACACAACCCTGATGCTGCCCTCAGTGAAATCGAGTATGTTCCCTCTGCTCTAATACAAACCTATATAGCTTGGAATCATTTGTTCAAGAATGAATTTGCTTGCTTGACATGGTCTAGTTCAGAGAGAATACTGTGAATAGCCAACCCATATCTTCCAAGAAATCAAAAGGGCTAAGAAAATAAATAATCACTTCTGAATTGCATGCAGAAATTAATCACTAGTCAATGAAGCATTGATGTTACGTGATAATAATGATTATCTAGTAAGTATATAGGGCTGCTATATTTTGCACCATGATATTTTCAAGTAATCCCTATATTGGAAATCACAAGGGTATAATCAGTACCCTGTTCTAGATAAGGCCATAATTGGGGCACCAACTTGAGCAAAGGCCTTCCTGTTGCAATAGGAGCCATGAATTCAGAAGAACCCTGAATTTGCAGGTCTGCTCTTTATAGGAGAACACATCCCTATCATGACTCAAAGATAATATGACTGTTTCTTCCACATCCTTTATTTCAAGACATTTTATATGAAAGGAAGGAAGGAAGGAAGGAAGGAAGGAAGGAAGGAAGGAAGGAAATATATGATTTAGAACTTAATTATCTGGGAATTTTCTAGGCTTTGCTTCAGTTCTAATATCTGCTAGTTAACTAATTTTTGCTAATTAATTAAATATGGATTCCTCTGAGGCAGCACGTAATGGATGTAGTATTATCGTAATACTAATGCTTGATAATCATAAGCAATGGATCACTGAAGAAGACACTGAATTATTAGAGAATCAGGGTGAGTTTCACTTTTAAATGTATGAGAATATAACAACTAAATTTTCTTTTGAAACTTCTCCAACCAAATAACAACTGAGTAAACTAAAGAGTATTACATTCTTCCGTATGACATTTTCACCATGGCTGCATTTTTTTACAAATATATTTTATTTATCAAAATTTTTGGTCTGCCTAATAACTTCAGGTATGTCTCAATAGACATGTAACAATAAGAGAAAAACACCTTTTTACCAGAAACAATACAACTGGTTTCCTGAGATGAAAGTGCATTTGCAAATTATTTACTTGAAATCATTTATCCAATGTCTTTCAGAGATTCAATTCTAACCAAATTTACAGAAGCAGCAAAAAAAGAGATCCTTCCAAATTTGACTTTTGACAATATTTGACTTTTAACAAACAGTATACATGCAAAATATCTGGTACAATCAGTTTTTAACAGCTTGACAGAAATCTCCTCCCGTATCTTTCAGGTAAGTCAGGATGGAAAAGCTTTACTGGATGTCCTGCAACGTCCCTTGAGTCCTGGAAACTCAGAATCCCTCACTGCTACAGCAAATTATTCCAAGGCTGTTCACCAAGTTTTGGATGTGGTCCATGAGGTCTTACATCACCAGCGACGCTTGGAGAGCATCTGGCAACACAGGAAGGTTCGGTTACATCAGCGGCTTCAACTTTGTGTTTTCCAGCAAGATGTTCAGCAGGTAATATAATAGCTTATTCATATGCGAAGCAATGATTAAATATAGTCCTGTTCTCCACAAAACAATGCTATCTCCATCATTAAGGACAATTCCTATAGACTTTAACCAACATGATCCAAGGTAACGAGGGCCAATTTATATATATATATATTCTTAAGTTTTCGCAGGTACTTACATGTATGGCATTCAGCTTTGTTCGGGTATTTTCCCACGTCATTGTAGTTGTGCTTTTAAAGTTGTAGCAACGTTTCGGCAGAACCTCATCTGCCATCATCAGGCTTCTGATTGTGTCCGTCTGTGAGTCAGGCCCCCACAGTTGTTTCAGTTTTAAATTTGGGGCAGCCTATTGCTGTGCCAGAATGGTTTTTTCTTCATCCTGATTGGTTGGGAATCTAGGTCTGTGTTTATTGGTCTTGGAGTTTGCTGTGTTTTGCTTGATTGGTGTTTCTAATATCTTCTGTCTGTTTAGTGGCTCTTTTTGTGTCTTGATTGGTTGGCAACATTGTGTTCCTTTATTGGAGGCCTTTTGTGCAGCTTGGCTCCGGGTAAATGGACGGCTATGATTTGTTAGGAAGCTAGGTTTCATCTGGGTGCCTGGTTGGGGTGTGTTTGAGCTGGAGGTATCAGAGGGGATCTGTTTGTGCCCAGGTGTTTGCCTGGCTAGTGGTGTGGAGATTTTTTTGTTTGTGAGTGCAGGCTTGTCAATCATTTGGAATATATACACACACACATACATACATACATGTATGTATGTATGTATTATGTATGGTATTATGTATGGTATTCAGCTTTGTTCGGGTATTTTCCCACGTCATTATAGTTGTGCTTTTAAAGTTGTAGCAACGTTTCGGCAGAATCTCATC